TGCTTCTGGGGAGCAGGAAGGGAGGCATCTAGGTCTGCTAGTGATCCATGGACCGGGGGAAAGGGAATGTCTGGGTGTCTATGTTGCATGCAGGGCCTGAAACAAATGGCTGGATGTATGGAGACATCCCATACAATAATTAGCCCAGGGGATGGGGCATACAGCCAGGTGGTGGCACCCAGTTCACATCTTCTCTCCTCTTCAGGTGGAGAAGGGGTTTAAAAGGATCTGACATCTCTCAGAAGAGATCTGAGCACTAGGCTACAGAGTCATTTTAACTCCTTCCCTGGCTCTTTGTGACTAGCCTGGTGCCTTATAGTGGAGGACCACCAATCTTAAGCTGTAAGTAGCCTTGTCTCTAAGCAATTTTCCCGGATTTGTCCCTTTCAGCAGTGCCCAAGAAACCACCTTTATTAGGAGGAGAAAGGGACAGGTGGGCCCTGGGTCGCTGGGCATCTGGGGGGACTAGCAGGTGGCCTGGTGCCCACAGTGGGACTCCATCCCTGCCACACTCACCAGCAGTGGTAGGGCAAGCAGAGCAGTGTGGCCCCAGCTTGATCTGCTCACCTGGCTGCATTGCTTGGGGAGGTGGGACTGCCCCGGCACTTGCTGTCAGAAAGTGGAGCAATGTGGCTCTGAGAGCCAAATGAACTAGAGCCACATTGCTCTGCTTGCCCTGCCGCAATTGCAGGGGGGGTTCAGAACCACAGCCCCACTAGTCCCCAGATCACATTGCTCAGGGAAGAGGAATAGACAAGTGGAGGTGTAACCCACACACCTAGGCTGTGTCTACACTGGGCCACTTATTCCGGAAAATCAGCCGCTTTTCCGGAATAAGCTGTGAGCTGTCTACACTGGCCCCTTGAATTTCCGGAAAAGCAGTGACGATTTACTGTAAGAAATCAGCTGCTTTTCCGGAAAAACTATGCTGCTCCCGCTCTGGCAAAAGTCCCTTTTCCAGAAAACTGTTCTGGAAAAGGGCCAGTGTAGACAGCACAGTAGTCTTTTCCGCAAAAAAGCCCTGATCGCGAAAATGGCGATCGGGGCTTTTTTCCGGAAAAGTGCATCTACATTGGCCACGGACGCTTTTCCGGAAAAAGGGCTTTTCCGGAAAAGCATCTTGCCAATGTAGACGCTCTTTTTCTGGAAATACTTATAACGGAAAACTGTTCCGTTTTAAGCATTTCCGGAAAATCATGCCAGTGTAGACGTAGCCTTAGGCTACATCTATACTGGCAGCTTCTTGTGGAGGAACAGCTGTTCTTCCGCAAAAACTTGCCGGCTGTCTACACAGCATGAGCGTTCTTCCAGAAGTAAATTTACAGTATAATACTGTAAAACAGGGCTTCTTCCAGAAGAGTTATTCCTCTCCCCACGAGGAATAAGCCCTCTTGCGCAAGAGCTCTTCCAGAAGTGGCCAGTGTAGACAGGCAACATGAATTTTTTGCGCATGAAGCCACTATGGTTAAAATGGCCATCAGAGCTTTCTTGCGCAAGAGAACGTCTACACTGGAATGGATGCTCTTCCGCAAAAGAGGTCTTGCGCAAGAAGCTGCCAGTGTAGACGTAGCCAAGTTGTTCACTGTCCCATCCGGTGGCATCTAGACCACAGCAACCGATAAGAACAAGATACTTCTCCAACATGGGCTGAGAGTCAGCTGTCTTTTAGCTCAGAGGGCAGAGGCTCCTGTACAGTACTAAGTTTCAGAGGTCCTAGATTCAGATTTGCCTGGTGGTGGTTACAGAGGTAGAGCAAGGGTAGGAGAGGACAGGAAGAGACAGGACCTAGGCTGGAGAGGGGTGGCCTAGCCCTTCCGCAGCTGGGGAACGGGGGTCAAGTGACAAGTGGCCCTCCAGATCCCCCTTTACCAGTCACCCCTGCCTGCCCAGTCACTGCAGCTATTCCTAAAGCAGTAGGGGTGTTTGGAACTGCTTCCAAGGCTACGTCTACACTGCAGGCTTTTTGCACAAGAAGGCTGTTCTTGCGCAAAAACTTGCAGAGCGACTACACTGCACGCACGTTCTTGTGCAAGTAAATTTACAGTACAGCATTGGAAAACAGGGCTTCTTCCGGAAGAGTTATTCCTCTCCCCACCAGGAATAAGCCCTCTTGAACAAGAGCTCTTCCACAAGAAGGTAGTGTAGACAGGCAACATGAATTTCTTGCACAAGAAACCCCTATGGCTAAAATGGCCATCAGAGCTTTCTTGCACAAGACAGCGTCCACACTGCCATCGACACTCTTGTGCAAAAGCACGTGGCAGCATGGACACGCTCTTGTGGAAGACCTTTTGCACAGTTCTTGCAGAAGAAGCCTGCAGTGTAGATGTAGCCCAGGAGAATACACCCAGGGCCCAGCACATCAACGGCAGATTTCCTCTGCCTTGTTACAGTGCAGTGCATGCAGCAACACACCTGCCGTACATTCCTGGCCCAATGTTCCCTGGGTTTCAGTGGGTTCCAGCTGGGGGGACATTCTGGGCAGGCATGAGATGCTGCCATTCTTAACTCTGCATTAATTAAGTTTGGGACAGTGAATTTTCAGAGGGGTTGAACACCCAGAGCTCTGGCCACCCGGTGGCTTCAGCTGCTCAACGCCTCCAAAAATCAGACCCAAGAGGTTTCAAGAGGGGCTCCTAAAACCCGAGATGCCAAATCCAGCACCACGTGTTGCCTAAGGAGGTGGAGCAGCCCAGTTGTGCTAATTGAAATCACATGAGCCACTCCTGGCCCTCCTCTCCCTCCATTTTGCACCTGCTCTTGTTTGAACAGAAATTAATTCCAGGGGGTTACATTAACTTTGTGATGCAGGTCAGACAGTGGATCCTTCCAGGCATAGACCCTAGTCCCATGTTGTGCCTTGTTCTGGGTGGTAATCAATGACTCTGGACTGGGACTGTGTCTTCTGTGTGCCCACCACTGTCTACCCCCATGTTCTCTAATGCTTTCATAGCATGGGCCATGTTTTTATCCAGTCTCCCAGGGGGCTGGCCCACCCTGCTATAGCCCATCCAGTGACTGTGTGTAGTTCGGGATTACTCTACCAGAAAAGGTGACAATGAGTCCTGTGGCACCTTATAGACTAACAATGTATTAGAGCATAAGCTTTCATGGGCAAAGACCCACTTCATCAGATGCATGTAGTGGAAATTTCCAGAGGCAGGTATATTCCGCTACTAGAAAAGGAATGATAGGCAAGGACCTGCATATTTTTAGCTTCTTTTAATGTAAGATTGTAGCAGCTGGAAACAAAAGAAGTTGTGGAAGAACTAGGGATGTCAACGTGTAGTCGACTACACAATTAACCGATAAGCCTGGACTTGGTTAATCCTATTAACTACGCGCGCGTGCACACACACACACACACACACCCTTGCTCCTTCTGTAGCAAGGGAAGTGGGAGAAGCTGCCACCTCCACCCTCGGGGACTATCAAATAATTGTGTAGCCGCTAAGCTTTGAATTATACGATCATTCAGTTAGTTGATATCTTAACATCCCTAGGAAGAATTACGTCACCTGCCACCTTCCCTGGCCCAACTGTGCCACCATGGATATCCTTAGGATTTAAGGGGCCTTACACAGTATTATGAAATTGGTGCCCCTATGCTCAATGGCAGCCAGGGCGGGGATGATATTTTAGAGTCATGATTTTATAATCTTCAGCAACACACCAATGAAATATTTGAAACTAACGTCATATACACTAATACAGTAAATTCAGAAACATCATGGACCTGGTGTTGGCAAATGCCCTTAAATAGCATCATTACCACTTGATTGGCTCTTTCACAGGCTTTGTGTCTGCTAAGGCAGGTTTTCCCACTTTTGAGTTAACTAGATACTCTCTGGAGGAAGCAGAGCCATAGAGCAGGGATAGGGAGAAATGGCAGAGTGGACTCTAAGGCCCAGTGGTCCCCCAAGTTTTCCAGTGCCCTATGCAGCTGTGTATACGGGTAGGAATAGCACAGCTTGCCGCCCTCCACCTCCTCCCCTGGCTGAACCCTGCCACCAACTACCTCCCTTGGCTTAGCTGCAAGTGCTAAACTAACAACTTGCTCCTGTACAGGAATCAGGTACCTAGGTAAGCCAGTGAAAGGAGGGAGGCTGGGCTGGGCCCTTCCTTTAACACACCCAGGACAATGAGATCAGACCAGCACGGCAGGGACTGAGACTCAGGGCTAGCTCTGGGTGCTCGCCCCCCTCCGCTGACCGACCCCTCCAGGTCCCGGCCCCACCTGTCTGTCCCTGCTGCCCAAGATGCGCTCTGCTTAGTAGCAGCTGAGCTGGAGTCTGGGGCAGAGCTCTGCGGTGCTGGCCCCTCCCCTGCCTCTGCAGGTGCCTGGGAGCCCCAGGACGA